ACTATAAGATCATCGCGAAGATTCTAACCAGGAGAATGTAACCGCTGTTACCGTCACTCATCTCCAAGTCTCAATCGGTCTTTGTTGAGGGATGAGCGATTGGAGATAATGTCCTAATCACACATGAGACCCTCCAGTTCTTACAAACCTCGGAAGCAAAGAAGTTTTGTTCAATGGCGGTGAAAACGAACATGAGTAAGGCATATGATCGGATAGAATGGGGCTTTCTCCGAGCCGTCCTAGAGCACTTGGGCTTTGATTCGATTTGGATTAGGTGGGTTATGAGCTGTGTGGAATCTGTCTCATATTCTTTTCTCATAAACGGTTCGCCGCAAGGGGCAGTGAAACCATCTCGTGGTATACGACAAGGAGACCCGCTCTCGCCTTATCTCTTTATTCTCTGCACGGAAACGCTTTCATCCATGTGTGAGACGACACAACAAGATGGAACTCTCCCGGGGATTCGGGTTGCTAGAGGCTGCCCGGCAGTCAACCATCTCTTATTTGCGGACGATACGATGTTCTTTTGTAGGTCAAGCCTGTCAAGTGTCGCCACTCTCTCCGATGTTCTCTGTTCCTACGAAGCACTCTCCGGGCAACGAATTAACTTCTCCAAGTCTGCTATCACTTTCTCAGAAAAAACGCCTCCAGAAACCAAGACGCGGGTGAAGACGGCGCTCTCTATTGACGCTGAAGGAGGGTTGGGGAAATACTTGGGCCTCCCCGAACACTTTGGTAGAAAGAAAAGAGATATATTTGCAGCGATTCTGGACCGCATACGACAAAAGACTCTGAGTTGGACAAATCGCTTCCTCTCAGGAGCGGTGAAGCAAGTCCTGCTGAAGACGGTGCTCCAGGCTATGCCGGCATACGCCATGTCCTGTTTTAAATTACCAGCGTCATTCTGTAAACAAATACAGTCTCTGTTCACAAAATTTTGGTGGGATAATCCGGAGAAGCGGAAGATGTGTTGGGTAGCCTGGTCTACACTAACCTTACCTAAACATGCGGGCGGTTTGGGCTTCTGTGATATCTCCACTTTTAACGACGCTCTTCTCGCAAAAATCGGATGGAGGATTATTCACCAGCCGTCCTCACTACTGGCACAGGTGCTATTGGGTAAATATGCGCGCCACAGCACCTTTCTAGACTGCACTGCTCCATCTAGCATGTCCCATGGTTGGTGGAGCATCTTAGCTGGCAGAGAAATTTTGAGAAAAGGCCTCGGATGGGTAGTGGGCAGTGGAGACAAGATAAGGCTATGGACGGACCCTTGGCTATCTTGCTCTGAACCACTAACACCTCTTGGACCTGCAAATAAAAATGATACTGAGCCCTACTAGTTAGCGACCTCCTTTGTCCAATCTCAAATTTGTGGGATAGAGATAAAATCTGAGCTCTCCTCCCTCAGTATAAGGAATGCATCCTTTGCATCATTACCAGCTCTGCTCCTGCTCCAGACCACCTAGCATGGCTCTATGATAAATCTGGATGTTACACAACAAAAACAGGATATGGCTTGGGAGTCACAAGCGCCGTTGAAAATGCTCCTTCGACCTCGGATTTTAACATCTGGAATGTTAAGACATCTCCAAAACTTAAGGACTTTCTTTGGAAGGTGGTTCGTAAAGCGATTCCAGTGAGCTCAAACCAAATCTGTCGAGGAATGCCGCCCTTTGGTTGCAAAACTTGCGATGGAGAAGAAGACGACCTCCACGTGTTTCTAAACTGCAGGATCGTAGAACAAGTTTGGAGTCTCGCCCCTCTTGTGACAATACCAGGTTCATCAATTTCATCAATTGCTGAGTTGATCTCAGTCGCTCCATCTTTCACGGTCCTTCCACCAGTTGGCTTGACAACCCCATTATGGCCTTGGATCCTCTGGAACCTCTGGAAGGCGCGTAACAAGCGTTTCTTTGAAAACAAAGTCTTTTCTGGGATGGAGATTAGCACTAAAGCGATCTCTGATGCACGGGAATGGGAATCGGCGCAGCCCCCACCACCATCATTAGACACGACCAGGACCCTCTCTTCAAACCTTCCCGCAGCTCCGAGATTCACCACCTCAGCGTCTACAACATGACCTGCAACGTTGATGCAGCTTGGGATAGTAGGACGGGGACTTGCGGCATTGGCGGTGTTTTTTCAGGACCAGATTCTACTCACCGCCTTGAGACTATTAGTAGTTCTCGAACCCATGTTTCATCGGCATTAATGGCTGAAGCCATTGCCATCCGCTTGGCAGTCATGTAAGCTGCTTCGCTGAATATCAAATCCTTGATGATTCTGTCCGTCTCTCTCTCCCTAGTGAAGCTCTTGAGAGAAAAAGATTCGGTCCCAGTCTTGTTCGGTATTTTATTTGACATCTATCACTTTAGCACCTTGTTTGATGTTATCTCCTTTTCACATGTTCCTCGTATAAGTAATGAAATGGATGATTTGGTGGCAAAGTCAGCCCTCTCATTGCTAATCTCCTCCGCTTATGGAGTGTAAAACTATTTAAGTTATGAATGAATGTGTGTGTTTGATCAAAAAAAATATAAGGATCTTCTTCAATAAGCTAAAGAATTATGGGCCATGTATCTTCATTGGGTGACTTTGAGAAAAAGAGATGAAGTGGCAGTGAGACAATGCGTATGCTATGCACTTGTTTGATATCTTTTACTACTTATAACTAGGGGTTTTGCCCGCACTTGCGGGCCTAATTTCCTTATAAATATTTATTAGTTGATATTTCATTAATGTAAAAACCAGCATAATAAGTTATTATATCTTTTTTCAAAAAATACAAATCAAACATCAAATAATTATTAATGACAAAACTCAAACATCGGAAATATTTAAAAGAATATATTTCTATAATTATTTTGCTTAATTTATATTTAATTATTTATACAAAATTTGTACTTAATTTATATTTAACTGTAATTTTAATATCTTAATTTTAAATTTTATAATAGAAAAAAATATTTTCAAGATAACAATATAATGCATAATTTATATATTTTCTAAAGATATAATATGATAAAAATATTAATTATATAAGATTATCAAAATTATGACATATAATTAAGGTTACCTAAAATCATGGAGAACTTAATGAATCAGCAAATTCACTTCTTAAATATTTATTAATTGATGTTTCATTAATTTAAAAACCAGCATAATAAGTTATTATTTATGTTTTTAAAAAGGTACAAATCCAACATCAAATAATTATTAACGACAAAACTCAAACGTCAGATATATTTAAAAGAATATATTTCTATAATTATTTTGCTTAATTTATATTTAATTATAAGATTTATAAAAATTATTTACTTACTTTATATTTAATTGTAATTTTTATATCTTAATTTTAAATTTTATAATAGAAAAATATATCTTCAAGATAACAATATAATGTATAAGTTATTTATTTTCTAAAAATATAATATGATAAAATTAATTATATAAGATTATCAAAATTATGATATATAATTAAAATTAGCTAAAATCACGGAGAACTTAATGAATCAGCAAATTCACTTATTAAATATATTTTCAAGAGAACAACTTAATACATAAGAAATATCTTATCTTTTAAGAATCCGATACTATTAATATAAATTTGTTTAATAATAGTATAGATAAATTATATATAAAATTATAGAAATTATGATAAACTATCAAAATTACTTAAAATCATGAAAAAATGACAAATCAGCAAACATCAAATTCACTTCTTAAATAATAGTATAGATTTATTACATGTTAATTTTAAATTTTATAATAGAAAATATATTTTCAAGATAACAACATAATACATAAGAATTAACTTATTTTCTAAAATATAAATTTAATTATTAGTAATATAATTTTTATATCTTAATTTTAAGATTTATAATAGGAAAATATATTTTCAACATAACAAGATAATACATAAAATTATATTTTTAAGTTTTATATAGAAAAATATATTTCTAGATAATAAGATAATTCTTAAAGTATATTTCTAGATAACAACATAATTCACAAGAATTATCTTATTTCTATAATATTATATATTCATATAAATTCGTTTTATTCATAAATTTATATATAATAATATAAATATGATAAATAAACAAAATTACCTAAAATTATGGAAAACATAACAACTAAGCAAATTTACTTCTTAAATAATAGTACAGATAAATTATATATAAAATTATAGAAATTATAATAAATTATCAAAATTACTTAAAATCATGAAAAATATGACAAATCAACAAACATCAAATTCACTTCTTAAATAATAGTATAGATTTATTACATGTTAATTTTAAATTTTATAATAGAAAATATATTTTCAAGATAACAACATAATACATAAGAATTAACTTATTTTCTAAAATATAAATTTAATTATTAATAATATAACTTTTATATCTTAATTTTAAGTTTTATAATAGGAAAATATATTTTCAACATAACAACATAATACATAAGAATTATCTTTTTAAGTTCTATATATAAAAATATATTTCTAGATAATAAGATAATTTTAAAATATATTTCTAGATAACAACATAATTCACAAGAATTATCTTATTTTTCTAAAATATGATATATTCATATAAATTTGTTTGATTTATAAATAAATTATATATAATAATATAAATATGATAAATAACCAAAATTATCTAAAATTATGGAGAAAATAACAACTAAGCAAATTTACTTCTTAAATAATAGTATAGATTACCTAAAATTATGGAGAAAATAACAACTAAGCAAATTTACTTCTTAAATAATAGTATAGATATCTATAGCCTGGTGTTTGAGATTTTGCAAATATTTTTTCGACGTTGCAAATTTTACAAAAACATAGTAAGAATAATCAGAAAATTTAGCCTTATTCTCATTTCGAAACCTTGTAAGAATAACGAAGCCAATTGCTAGTTCATTGTGGACGGTGGCACGCTTTTGAATATTGAATGTATAAATGCAGCAAAGAACGTCTTGAATGTATAATATATTCTCTACTAGTTGAGCAGTAAGCACCTACATATTCTAAATTCTACATTGTGGAAATCTGGTAAAGTGAGAAATAATCATACACCAGGTCTGTCTCTCTGAATCAAATGACCGATACCTTTTTAACATATATCTAATCCTTATACATTTATAATTATAGGGACAAGGTTACATGATATATAGACACATTCATAATCTAATTTCCCCTTACTTACAACTCCGCTTTAACCTGATTTGGGTGCAAATTAGTAAAGTCCACCATCAAACTATTGTGGTCACTGCCATGATCTTGATTCTCCTCTCTTCCCCAAACCCTCTGGTTCAAGCCATCGAAAGGCCATTGTTGTGGTGGTGGTTGTTGCAGTTGCCGGTGGTGATGATAGGACTGTTCTGTCTCAGTCACTTGATGAGGCCAAGTAACTTGCATTGCTGTACCGTTGAAGCTCCCATCCATTAAAGAACCGTTCTATGAAAGAGAACAAAGGAGCCAAACCAAGAAAAGATATCGGCTCAGGGATCATTCATTCATAGAGATCTTAATCTAGCAAGGAAGTAAACTGTTGTTGCTCTGTTATTACTCTCCTAAAAAGAACAAGGTTTAATGAGAGGGACCCTAGCTATTTATTGGTACGTAATGTACAAGCTGTAAGAAGAAAGAGAGAGCATTTATTAACTTTAGATAGGATCCACATGTGATTATGAGATTAGATAGGTGAAAAAAGAAAAACTTTGAAACAACAAGATGTTGAAAGAGACTCACATACACAAAAATCTTGTAAATCATCAAAGCCCATCAATAAACACGTCCGACATAAGTCACAAGACACAGGAAGGTTTTACAGAACAAAGGTGGTCCAAGTTCTGACCAAATGTGTGTTGTTGTATTTAGTTTTTTTACTGAGTTCCCTTCATAAGGCTAGACTTTGATCCTACACCTTGCTCTAAAATGGTTTGAGTTAATGTTTTGTATCACTAAATAACCGAAAGTTTTCTCTCTTTGTGATATAATAAACTAGAAGCTACTCAAAGAATTATAGTCTCCTATGGTTTACTCAAATGAGAAACGCATGCTTATGTAGAAAAATCATCAAAAGGGCCTTAAACATTGTGTGAGAGTTAGAAGATACTTACTGGTGAAGCCAATCTGGTGTCTAGATTAAAGTCGATTCTGGGGTTTACTGCAGCAAGTCTCATTGATAGCATCTGGGGGAAAAAACAAGAGATTGTGGTACACAATTCTACTGTTTTGAGTTAACCTTTTGGCTGTCTTAAAAGGCTATTGTACAATCTATAGATATAAAGGACAAAACTGGACCACGGAAAGTCTCACCTCCACTTGACGTTGTAAAGACTGGACATGGTTAATGATTTCATCCAGCACCAAGGCTGTACCTTGAATCTGCAGGTCAAAGACTTTCTGGTAAGTACACATTTGGTTTCACACAACCAACAAGAGTTCCTTCCTAAGCAGCTACCTATTTGTTGAGATTATTCAATATTTCAAAGAGAAGAATACACCAAGATGACCCTATAATAATCCAAAGCTAAATTTTATCAGGTTTTCCATAGTATTACTCTGGTGGTTCATGGAACAATCAATCAAGTCCTCATAGCTCACTAATAAATTCAAAAACCTAACGAACACAGAAGTTTGCATAACATCATCTCCATCTATCTCACCAATAATTGCTGATAGCTTCTAACATAAGGGATCTCAGTTGTTTAAATTAGCTGTCTAGGGGGAGTGTCACATCCATGTTTCCAGCTAATTAGGTTCGTGTGGGACTCAAAGCAATATCATTTTCTTGTAAATGATCGTGGAAGAGTCATTGTCTTCTTTTTCCCTTGAGGGATACCGAACTTGTTAGAGAATTGCAACTTTTTCTTCCCACTTATCATCAAAAGTTGGACCAAAACACACTTTGATCCACCAAAACCTGTCCCCTAAACCCAAAACCTTAATGGCACATTACAGCTAGCATCCCCACTTCCTAAGGTCATTCTCTTCATTAGTATAAAGACTAATACATCAAACTCAATGAAAAAACACTTTGAGAAGAGGAAAAAAGAATTCGATAAAAGCCATCTCCAATCATGTCCATGTGACTAGTTTACCTTAAACTAGAGTTGAGATCTTTGGCACACTAGAAACCACTTTTCTTCGTAAAAACTATATAATAATGTATTCCAACTTTTAGGGTGAATCTATTAAGTAAATATTAGGTCGCTAAAGCACACAAATGAAGAGCTAATGATTAATTAGTATACTAATTACACACGTTAGTATCTGAGACACAAACCTTATCACAGCTTGGGACTAGTTCTTGAAGCAGCTTCATCCGTGCATTAATCTTCTCTCTTCTTTCCTATAGTGAAGAAATTAGTAATTAAATCAGCTGATTAAGATCTAAGTGAGAGATGCAAAAGTTACTCGTTCAGCTAAGCTATGGCTATCTGTTGCTTGACCACGGCGAGCTCTAACGTGAACATATGGAAGCTTCTCGTTCTCTTCAGAGCTTTTGTTCTTCTTCTTATTCGTGGAGCTTCTAGCCTAAGACATGAATCAATCACTGTCTGGAAATCGAATGTAAAGAAAACAAAACGTGTGGTCTGACACTCTCACCTTCTTGTCGGAATCTTTCCTCTTTCCAGATCGATTGCTCTGCTTCTCCACCACTTGGGATGAATTAGTCTCAGTTTTAACGCTGGAATTGTTGGAAGGTACAGAGCTCGTAGCGGTCTCACCGGAGAGATTACCGTGTTGCTGATGCTCAGTGGCAATCACCGAGAAACGAGCTGCTCGCTCCATGAGGACTGAGTTAGAAGGAAAAGTCAGAGTCCCGTAGGAGTGAACCTGTGGAGGAGATATTCCGGTGACGGCCGCGGCTTGAGGTGAAGAAGACGAAGAGTCCGTGAAATAGAGAAGCCTTACGGGTTGTGTAGACGGAAGCTCAAGCAACGGCGTGAACCCACCACCAGCGTTGTTATCCGAAGGTAGTTGCCGAAATTCATCTCCGAGATGAAGCGATTCAAGCCCAGTAGCTTCCCGGGTGGCACCACCGCCGTCGGATCTAGCTCCAAATCCTCCACTCAGGTCCATAAACGAACAACACCAACCTCAGGCGAAGACCCACAATCTAAGTTCTAAGAAGAAGAAGGAGAGAGAGAGGTGTTTAGACTTTGTCGGTACGCGAGCATATACCAAGGTGCGTCAATGGCAGTGAAAGAGTATGAACTGAAATTCACTCTTTCTTTCTTTCTATCTTACAGAGCTTTCCAGAAGAAGGTATTGTTGTTTTGTAAGAGAGACTCTCTTTCTCTTTCTCTTTCTCTTTCTCTTTCTCTTCTCTTTCTCTTTCTCTTTGTCTATAAAGGAAGCTTTACTCCGTAGAGCTAGTTTGAGTAGGACGAAAGTAACTTTAGCTAGTGGAGTGCGTCTGTTAAAATTAAACAAGACACACTGTTGGATAGAGAGATAGAGCTTTTAAACCAGTTTTGGTTATCGTACGAGACCGTACGGTTTTTAACCCATTATCTTTTTGTTGGATGCTAATGGATATTACTAGTTACCCATGATCTATTCTATTAATTCTGTAACATGACCTATTGATAAAAATCATCTATTCTATTAATTATGCAACATGACCTATTGATAAAAATCATGTCAATTAGTTATTTCCTTAATTTAAGGAACTTTTTATTATTTTTTATATATAACCGTATCTAATTATATTTAAACACTAACCACGTTATAATTGTTTCTTCCAAAAACAGTTTCCAATTCTTATATCCATAATTAAAGTATTTAGGTCCTTTTCTTACAGAAATTATTGATTTTTTTATGAACACACAAATTTTGAGGATTAAATTCAGTTGCAAAAAAAGAAAAATAGTTACAGAAATCTATTTCTATTATTGGAATCTCAGTTGAATCTTTATACAAAAACTTTTTTGCAGAGTTTGTCAATCCGGCTATAGTGATGAAGCTTCCTCTCTTATATATTCTGTTGGGATCTTCTCTCATCTAGGAGTAGTGATGCGTTTGCTCTTACATAGATGGTCATGGGGCTTTTAGATAGATAGATAGATAGATAGATAGTAGGGTGAATAATTAGCGAATCTAGAAATTTTATTTTGTGGGGGCATAAAATAAATAAAAAGAAAATAAATGAAGATGACTGAATTTATCTTCTTAGGGCCTTCTACGGTGGTTTGTTGAGGATCTTAACGGTTTTGGTGGATTCGAAGATGAAAAGCATATCACGATTACAGTGGAATTCGTCACTGTGATGCTAATAAGCTTGATGCTAAAAAGATGGATGAACGAAGCCGACGAAGGATGCTCAATTGCTCATCAACCTTTATTTTTGGCAGTTCACTTATCATACACGTGTTGTTTTATTAACTCATTTTTATCTTTTGCATTTACAATTGAAAATTTAGTAATTGGGCTTATTTTGTTGAGCAGTTTAGCTAGAAACCAAAGAAAGATTAGGAAATTAGGAGATTACCAAAACAGAGAAAGGAGAAGTGTACGTGGCAAAAAAACTGCTGTAAAAATGACCAAAATATCCTGTCCACTTGACATTTCAGCTGACCGGATTTGGTCTTTGGATACTTATCTCTGACAAAAAATCTTTGAAATATTTGGTAAGATAAAGTAGAGATCTCATTTATATTATCTATGAAAAAAAATCTTTGATAGATTTGATAAGATTTAATAGAGATTTCATTTACATTATCAGAAGTTGCATCCTTTAATTAACTCTATACAGTTAAACCTATACACAAAACACTAAATCTTTTAATTAACTCTATTTACAGAAATCTCCATGACTGATCCATATAATATCGTCGACCACTTGACCAGCTAACAAGACAAATATATAAGTAATTGTTTTAGTATACGCCTAAAATTTATTGTAACACGAAAATATTAATAATTACCTTAGATACAAACTGTTAGTCATTTAAGGTTCAAGCATTAAACTAGAGAGAGAGGGAAAAACCGTGAACCCTAACAACTTAATCCAAGATCACTTCCAGATGAGTATACAATATCGTCAACCATTTGTCCGACTAGCATGGCAAATATATGAGTAAATCTCGAATCCTAAATCCTAAACCATAAACCTTAAATCCTAAACTCTTGCATATCTCTAAACCATAAACCCTTGCATACCTCTGAACCCTTGGATATCTATAAACCCTAAACCCTAAACTATAAACCTTAACCCTAATCTCTAACCACAAACCCTGAACTCTGTACTTAATCGAAGATCACTTACAGATGAGTATAAATTATCGTCAACCACTTGGGCGGCTAGCATGATAAATATATTAGTAATATATATAACATGTGGCTAATAGTTATTGTAGCATGATAATATTATAAATTACCTAAGATATTGTTAGTCATATACAATATCGTCAGCCACTTGGCCGGCTAGCATGAAAAATATATAAGTAATATATATAACAGACGGCTAATAGTTTTGTAGCAAGCTAATATTATAAATTACCTAAGATATTGTTAGTCATATATAATTTCGTTAGCCACTTAGCCGGCTAGAAGTACAAATATCTGAGTAATATATTTAATACGCGGCTAAATCCTTGCATATCTCTATATCCTAAAAACTCAACACTAAACCGTTAAATAAATCTATACGGTAAATGTTAAATCCTTAGTACTCGCCCAATACCCCCAACATATAAATATAGGATAGCTTCGGCCACTTGACCGGCTACGATTTAAAATTACGTGAAAAACATAGTTTAGCCGGCTAACCAATATATGTTGCACATCTATTAGATGGATTAACCAGATACAAAAAACTTTGTTAATGTAAAAATTATTAAAAATAAGTTAAGAAATTATGTTTCCGAGTAATCCAACTATGTTTCATGTCTAATATGTTGTCAAACTAGGTAAACTTTCTTATTTAAATTTGAAAAATATTTTTTAAACACCTATGTGGGTACAAAAATATGGCATTCTAAATAAAAAGAATAGTATAGCCGGCTAACAAAATACGTCGCATATCTATATTTTGATTAACCAGATACTAAAATTTTGATGATGTAAACACTAAATAAATAATAAGTTAAGAAATTTGTTTTCAGATAATGCAACTATATTTTATGTCTAATACGTTGTCAAGCTTTATTCAAATTGAAAAATAATTAAGTGATGTATCATCTCTGTCAAATCCAAAAGAGAATTGCAACAAGAAAAAAACTTCATCAATCTTAGAAGTTCCAATTCCAAGTCCTATAAAATTTTCAAGAACAAATTGTTTCTAGGAGAAAGAAAGAGAAACAAAGATGAAAGATGAAAGATGAAAGAGAAAGAAAGGTACAGACAATAAAGATATGGAATATCTTGTGTATCTCTCACTCTTCCGTCGAAACATGTGGCTGCCCGCTGGAGTTGGTCAGGTGAAAGGAGAATTCAAAAAAGGATAACATAGTCATTTTGTTTGTGTACAGTAAGGTGTCTTTTTTCTCTTTGGTATTTTACAAATTATGGCAAACTTCTTTGGTATGAGCGCAAATTTCTCTATTTTGTTTGATGTAGAGATGTGAACTCTAGAAACAAATGCACTTAATATATCTTTGCTTTTTTAAAAAAAAAAGTAATTGCAGACAAAAAAAATAATAATCTTATGACAATTGCAGATAAAAATAATAATACCATTAAAACATAATACCATTAAACACATTCTCTTTGATTAATGATTTTTTTTTTTCAAATTTATCCTTAATTTTATGAACAAATTTAATTTTTCATTAATAAAAATTTTATCTTTTTTGGGCCTAACACTTATATACTAATGAGTTTTATTAATGGGCTCAATTCACTTTTTAATTATTTCTGAAATTTCTTTAAAAATAAACACATCAACCTTAATTAGCGTAGTTAGAGCTGAAAATTTTGATATTAGCCCGCGAGTCTCGCCCCATTTGACCCGCCACGGAGCGGGTTGATCGATTTGAAAAAAAATAAGTTGTATTTTATGCGAAACGAGTGTGGATTGCTCTAATTTCAATTGCGGATACCCGGTAATCCGCAAAAATAGAAAAACAATTTTGTTTTAAAAATTTTATTTTTCCAAAATATACTAAATTTCATTAAAAATTATTATATTTTAAATATTAAAAAATTAATTAAAATATACTATTTAATAATAAAAATAATTATTTTCATTATTTAATAATTATGTTCGGATTTCACAGATTACTCGTAAAATTAAGTGGGATGAATGCAGATAAATTATATTTTCTTTGCGGGTCAGGCGAGTCAGGCAAGGCGAGTTTGACCCGCTTTCCAGCACCAGACATAGTTAACTGATACTATTTTTCCATAGTAAAACTACACAATTACATACAATACATTTACATAGATATTGATGATAACGATAAATTAAAATTTGCATTAACTTTAAAAAATTGTATTAGATATTGACATTTTATATCATCAAAGCAAAAGACTTATCAATCCATCTGTAGATAAAACAACAAAAATGGTACCCGCACTTTTTAAGCGCGGATCAAAAATCTAGTTCATTTTAGCATCAAATACACGGGATCTACTTCTTTCAGACACATACACGGTTTTTAAACTCTTTCCGGAAACAATGGATTAATAAATTAATTAATTAATTTTATTACATATTTATATATTAGCTATAAAAATAAATATATAAAACTAAAATTAAGTATTTTCTATTTTTTATAAATCATAAAACAAGATATGTATACATTTTAAAAACTTTTAAAAAATATTTAACTTTAGTTTATATTTTTTTATTTTTCATTTGACATAAAAAATATGAAAAAGTTTCAATTATTAAAAAAATTCTAACAAGTTAAGATTTGTGACATATAAAAAAAAATATCAAGACTTAAAAATTCATAAATATTTATATGTCTAATGTGAATAATAGAACTAAACTTCAGAAGTATTATTATTAAATTGTGGTTAAAAAAATGAAAAAGAAACTAATTTATTAATTAAAAATTATACAAAATAGATTTTAAATATATAATTAAAATCTAAAAAAAAGTAAAATTTATCAATTTGTTCAACCAGTGGTTCAACCGGTAACTGGGGTCTATGTTTTAGTAATTTTTCGTGGATTTTATTAGATTAAATATTGATTTTTCATACAAAAGAAAACAAATCAAATTTAGCTTTAATCACTAGCTTTAATATTTATACACAAATATGATTACAAAGAAAAACACAAATATAACTACAACTAAAAATAGGAATATGAAAAATAAATTTTTCAAAAAAAAGTTTTAAACCAAAAAATATAGAGAAAATGACTCAAATGACACTAAACCAAGTTTTTCTTCCCAAACTAGCACTCAAGTCTTAAAATCACAAAAATAGGTTTCATTTAATAGATCATTTACCCTTATACCCCTTTCCTTTTCTAATTATATTTTTTTCTTCGGAAAATTGAGATCAATAAAAAAAGAAAATTGAGATCATGAAAACGACACCGGCGTGAATTATCTCTGCCATCGATCATCTCGTCCATCATCGTCTCTGGTAGCTCTTCTCCGGCGTCCATCCAAGCACAAAAGTTGCTTTCAATCTGACGGACTTCGGCGGTGGGGATGGTGTCACCGTCAACACGGAGGCGTTTGAGAGAGCTGTCTACGCAATGTCGAAGCTTTCTAAGAATAGAGGTGGGCAGCTTATTGTGCCTCCTGGTAGGCAGCTTACTGCTCCGTTTAATCTCACTAGCTACATGACGCTGTTCCTGGCTGAAGACACTGAGATCCTTGCCGTACAGGTTTGTTGATTCAAATCTTCAAGTTCTTATCTCTTATAAGTTGATGTTGAATTTGGTTATATAGATTTAGAATCAAAGGTGTATACTTTTAGGTGGCTTCTGTTTTCTATATACTTGTTTGTGTTAGATCCTGAAAGTTTTTTTGTTTTTGTTAGTTGATGTTGAATTGGTCTTTATAGAGTTAGATGTAAAGTAGCATACTTTGAGGTGGCTTATGTCTTCTATTTACTTGCGTTTCACCAATATTTTTGTGGTTTTTATGTTAACGTTCCTAGGATGAGAAGTTATGGCCTCTGCTTCCTCCTTTACCTTCATACGGCTATGGAAGAGAGCATTATGGACCTCGTTATGGTAGTTTCATTCATGGGCAGAATCTCAAAGATGTCGTTGTCACAGGTCAGTCTCTTACGTGTTTTCTCTTGCTAAGGCAGCAACTGAATTTCTTAGGTGTTTTCTCTTGCTAAGGTGATTAGAAGTCAAACCACAGTTCTACTGTTTAAGCTCAACCTTATCGTTTGGTGTTTGTTGAATATTAACTTATGAACCTCAATACTACTTTTATGCTCTAGTTTGATTGATTTACTGTTCATCCTCTTCTTCCCATTACATTTCAGATCTCGGAGATTTTCACCAGTGGTGCAAGAGAAGGACGAAACTTTTGGAAGTCGTTGCGGATCGTTGGAGAAGATCGGAGTCGTCGCACCCCCAGAAACCATGGCGGAAAGGCAAGCTGTGAAGTGTGTAGATTCAGATGGAGTTTCGCAGTTACAGTCTCTTCCCGGTGGAGTTATTAAGCTCTTGTGTGATACTGTTGTGGAGAGTGTGAGAGACTTGACTGGATACGACCGTGTGATGGTGTACAATTTCCACGAAGACAAGCATGGAGAAGTTGTTTCGGGGATTAGAGGAGAGGATTTAGAGCCTTACATTGCATTATCCAGCGACTGATATACCTCAAGCGTCAAGGTTCTTGTTTAAGCAGAACCGTGTGCGTATGATCGTAGATTTCCACGCGACGCCGGTTCTCGTGGTGCAGCACGATAGGCTGACTCAGTTTATGTGCTTGGTTGGCTCTACCCTGAGGGATCCTCACGGTTGTCACTCTCAGTATATGGCTAATATGGGATCTATTGCGTCTTTGGCGATGGCTAATATGTTGACACCGACAAGGTAACACCCTAAAATATAAGTCTTTACATGGAGACTTGTCTCAGCAATAAAAGTTTTGAATGATTTTTAAATGCAAAGCTAGTAGTTTGGTTAATAGTAGCAATTTTACAAGTCTTGTATCCTTTATGACCTCAGAGACAGAACAAAACGGCTTAGTGATCAAGAAGGGCTTACAAATCAAATGTACATAGGAAGAGGAAGAAGCAGGGCAAAGAAGCGAGTGTGTTACTACTATGGACGAGCAGTGGTGTGATGAAAACAACGATGAGCTTCCAGAGATGTATCTGGTCATTGCTTGGTTCAACTGTTCTAGTTGGTATTCTCTTCCTCTATGGTTTCTGGTTCTGTATTGTATTTTTTCACATTAACCTTACCTATATGATCTTCCTAACGACATTATATCTGTCTTGCTTGTCTGCTGTTAGAATGTTAACTGAATCTGATTAGTAGTATTGTGGTTTGAATAACTTGTGTGTGTCTGTGTGCCTGAACTGATTTGACTTTGTTTTCTCCATTTTGATTTTGTGAATGTTGCAGTGTGAAGATAATGAATGGACCAGGATTTTTCATGAAACAAAGACAGAGACTTTTTATACCGAGAGTTCTGGGAGTGATGGAAGCAAGTTGCAGAGATAGTGAAAGTAAAGAGCTGAGACCTGGGACAAGGCAACTGAGTGTGGTGGGTGCAGTTAGAGTAGCAGTCAGAAGCTCTTTCATGGTGACTTGCTGATAATTTGATATGAAGTGAAATCAAATGTTTTAAATCATTGTACATGAGCATAAAGTTTTTTGTTGAGCTGATTATTAAACTTGGTATGTGGGATGTAGATACAACTTTAGTTTAAACCTTGCTTGATAGAAATACACTAATATATTATTTATGGAAGTCCATTCAAAAATTACCAAATGCTTTCTAACATCTATAATATTTTTTATATATTTTGGTTTTGTAAAGTCACTCAGAATATGTATAATGGTTTCTTGTTACGTTTAGAAATTTGAAAATTTTCAATAATCAACATAAATCTCTAACTGTTTTGCTTTGGCTTTAAACAATCTGATACTTCAGCTCAGGCACTGTTAGTCTGAGAGGTTGTAGAACTCCTATTGTGTTACTATCCTGAGTAACCAAGTAATAAATACTTCAAAATTTGTTAACACCAAACTTCGGGAAAGCTTTCCTGAAACTATACAAATCTTTCTGGAAAAAAAAATCACATAGTTTTACAGGCACAAGCAATTGTCTAGATATCAATAGGCGTAGTCCAAACAAGAAGACACTAAGCCAAACAAAAAAATTCAAATTTGTTATCATCAAATATCTGGAAAACTTTCCTGAAACTACACAAATCCTTCCTGAAATTTTAAAAATACTACACAGTTTCACAAGCACAAGCAAGAGATTAACAATGTCATAAGCAAATTCACGAGCCTACCAAAGATATAACATGCCTAAGCCAAACAAGAAGACACCAGGGGAAAAAATTCAAATTTGTCAACATAGAATTTTCTGGAAAGCATCCTGAAACTACATAAACTCATTTTATTTTTTTGGAAACCCATCCTGAAAGTGTCAAAAGCTATCCTATATAACATAGGTGTTTATAATGATATCACATTTAACACTTTCTTGATAGAATTATTGAAAATGCTTCAAGCTATCCTATTTTAATGTTTTCTGTTTAATATGTGTTCTCTATTTTTTAGACAATGAACTCTATTTCGTGATTTCTATAGCCAATGAATTTTCTTATAGATCCTTTTGATTATGTTTATTTTTAGAATATTAAGTTCTAATTTAGGATAGCCATCTTGAACAAGGACTGTCTAACATTTCATACACACTTTTGATTCTCTTCGAAAACAGACTTATGCAAAAAAACACACTCATTTTATTTTTCTGGAAACCCATCCTGAAAGTGCCAAAAGCTATCCTATATAATAACGTAGATGTTTTATAATGATACAAGAAAACACTCATTTTATTTTTCTGGAAACCCATCCTGAAAGTGCCAAAAGCTATCCTATATAATAACATAGGTGTTTTATAATGGTACCACATTTAACACTTTCTTGATAGAATTATTGATAATGCTTCAAGCTGTCCTATTTTAAATGTTTTGCCTTACTCTGAACCAATCTTATACTTCAGCTCAGTTAGTGTTAGTCTGAGAGGTAATAAAACCTCCATCGTGTTACTATCCTGCGTAACCAAGTAATAAGTATTTCAAAGTTTGTTATCACCAAATTTTCTGGAAAGCTTTCCTGAAACTACATAAATCATTCTTGAAAATTTAGAAAACTACACAGTTTACAAATAAGAGACTAACTGTGTCATAAGGAAATTCACGAACCTACTAAAGATATCAACATGCGTAAGCAAAACAAGAAGACACAAAGCAAAAAAAAAGATTCAAATTTGTTATTATCAAATATTCTGGAAAGTTTTCCTGAAACTGCACAAATCATTCCTGAAATTTTAAAAACACTACATAGTTTCACAAGCACAAGTACAACCACAAGTAAGAGACTAACAATTTCATAAGAAAACTCACGAGCCTATCAAAGATATAACATGACTAAGCCAAACAAGAAAACACCAAAAAAAAAAAAAATCAAATTTGTTAGCATCAAATTTTCTGGAAAGCGTTTTTGAAACTACATAAATCTTTCCTGAAATTTTAAAAATACTACAAAGTTTCACAACCACAAAGCACAAGCACAAGCACAAGCAAGAGATTAACAATGTTATAAGCAAATTCACGATCCTACCAAAGATATCAACATGCGTATGCCAAACAAGTAAAATAAATAACTTCATCTGTATAATTGAGGATGAAAAAATGAACTAAGTGGTTTTATTTTTAAAAATTAGACAACTTCATTTGATTCTTACCAATATGGTGTACAATTCTTATTTTGGTTAAACCACGACATGTATAATTGAGACTTTCCTCAATTGCACTCAAAATCTTAATTTTGTTTGTTTTTGTATGATTTTCTTCTTTCTTACACAATTCAGGATATGATTCCTGATCATGTACTAAACCTTCCAAATAAAGTGAATCATGCAGATGTTTCCAGTGTTTATAATATAAAATTAACGGTTAATATATTTATGTTTTAGCTTTTACCAGATGTTTTTAAACAAATGGGTCCCTAAACATCAAACAAAACATTTTTCTTCAAGTAAACGTTTGTTGTTATATTTCTACTAATTAGTCTCTAATTATGTGTTGCTCTCAGCCGAGTTACACATTAACCATCAATTTCATCAAACGTAGAAGACTGATGAACTAAACTGACAAAGAAAAAGCACAAAGCGACTTGCAGAACTCTAACCAAAGGTAAGTCTTGAAACCCAATAAAAAAATCACAAAAATGATAAGAAATAAGTAGTAACATCAAATTTTCTGGAAAGCTTTCCTGAAACCACATAAATCCTTCCAGGAATTTAAAAAAACAATACACAATTTCACAAGCACAAGCAAAAACTAACAATGTCATAAGCAAATTCACGAGCCTACCAAATACATCAACATGCGTAAGCCAAACAACAAGACACAAAACATAAAAAAATTCAAATTTATTAACATCGAATTTTCTGGAAAGGTTTCCTGAAACTACACAAATCCTTCCAAAATTAGCTAAATATACAAAGAGAGAGGAAAAAAATATGTTACTGCTTTTCACTTGATAGAAACATAGGTTAATGATTACCTCATCTCCATGTTTAAGATTTAACTACTTGCACATTTCCTCAAGTTTTCTAAAAATTCATCGTAATATTTTATATGCTATCATGAATAGTTGATATGTACTTTGGTAAATGTATACACCTAATAATTCCACACTAAATCAGAAACTCGAGAAATATAATTCACACAAAAAAAATCCAAACTACAGCGACTAAACAAGGGAATCTAATCCAAATTCTGCAATAGTCTATGCAATCAGAAATCAGTTTCCAGCGAAGAAGAAGAACTCTTTCTTCAACATCTCTCAATGCTTCTACACCTTGAAGAAGTCTTTAGGAGCACAGTCACTTGGGACTGCGTCATCAAACTCATCAGTAAAGTCAAATATTCTTCTCTTATTTGGGTCCATGAGAAGCCCATATGCTTCTTGGATCAACTTGAAGTGAGATTCAATCGCTTCTCTCTTAGCTTGCTTCGCTACATCACTCTCGTCAGAAAGAAGGAGAGCAGCAGAAAGCTTATCAGGATGAAGCTTCAGAGCAGCCTCACGATAGCTTTTCCTAATCTGATCCTCTGTTGCAAGATACCTCAAACTGCCCAATCCCAACAAGGCATAGTGATCTAAGGATCAGGAGCTGCCATGGAATGCACAGTATCAATGACAGAGTCTATAAGGTCATGAGACTTGCTTGTACCTGCAAGTGTCAGGTGTTTTGGTGCTTCTGCTCTATCGAAATAGAATGCACCAGAGACAAGCTTCTCTTTAGGCTGAAGTGCTAGCCAAACGACTGTGTCTGCTCCTTCTTCGCTGGTTCTAAGCTTACCAGAGAAACTGATTCACAAGTTTTAAACTTTCTTTAAGCACAGAAGGAGATGTTTTGCTTATACATATATAAAGTATGTTATTCGTTGGAAAACTTCTCTTACGATTCTTTGAAACTAGGCAAACTCCTGGCGACACCAGGTGTCTCAGCCCAGCCAGGGTGCATTAAGTAGGAATCTATGCCTTTGTTCTTGTACTTATCACCTCATTTTTCTGTCAGAGCCACCTATATCATTTTCATACAAAACAAACTTAGAAAAACCAGACAAAAAAAAAGATGGATTTTCACTTGGTAGATTCTGATTTTTAACGACCTGGATTCATTTGTTCCGTGCGTATTGTAACACTCCATCGAATTTTTCACCACTAAACTGTAGAAAAACCATACGCAGCAGCGCGAGTTGAGTGATGCAAACAGTGCCAAAGAGGTTACACAAACAAAAGGTGTCATGAATGTCAGATTGGTTACCTGAAGATCTGTAGTAAGTGGCGACGTGTACATTCCACCAGAGGAGACGGTGATGACTTTGGCGTCAGGTGACGCTTTCTCCAACAGTGGAAGCCTCAGCTCTGTCATTGTGTATGTCCCTAGTACATTCCCCGCAAAATTTAACTCAAACCTAATACAACAGATGATCACCTTATGGAACATTAATCAAGGTAAAATGAATCTGTGGAATGCTCAAGAAAGATAACTGAGACCAACCCTTCAGGTGTGGTAGTATGTTTGTTCTCAAGAAAACCAGCATTATTAACCTAAAAACAAAAAAAAATCAGAATCAAACAAAAGTTCTAGAATAGCTGAGTTTTTTAGTGAAATGTTTTATTCTAAGCAGCAGTAAAAAGAAAAGACGACATTACCAGTACATGAACCGGAACATCCTTGGAAGCAAAACTCGAAGCAAATGACTTTATATCATTGAAAGAAGACAAATCACAAACCTAAACAAAGAAGCAAAGCTAAATAAGTTCGATACTCTTCCAATATACGCATAGAACAGAGTATTCAAAATCATACTTCAAGGTAGACATTCTGGTTTCCTGTAGAGTTTTGAATCTTAGAAAGAGCCTCTTGTCCTCTTTCCTTGTTCCGACACACCATGTAAACAGTTGCTCCACTAAAAAACAAAAAAAAAAAAAGAGAAAGACTTTATATACATTGTGACAAAATCATATCCTGTTTTTTTTTTCCATAACTGAGACAAAGCTTTACCGTGAAGCAAGACCTTCTGCAGCTGCGTAACCAATACCAGAGTTAGCTCCAGTGACCACACAATTCTTTCCTTGTATTTGTAACTGCATATCTTCAGGTTTGAACTTTTTTGAATGGTCTCTGCCACAAACAAATGACATAGTCTTAGCATAGGTCTTAGCATCGCGATGCTGTCATGCGTAACCAAGCCAAAACAAATTTCAAAATTTCTAGTATCGAATTTTCTGTAAAGCTATCCTGAAAGTTTGAAACATCATCCTGAAACTAAAAAAAAAACCCCCACAAATTTTCACAAACAAACGTCTCATTCACACTCAAGAACACTGGAATTGCAGATAAACTACCACACATAATCAGCAGAATCAACACTGTCTAGAAAAGAATATAACTCTTCCCAGAATTCTTCTGATTAAAACTATTTAAACAATAGAGCAACTTTAAGATAGCTACTTAGCTACTTGATCATATGGTTCTAAAGACACTAATATTTGCATGTGCCTTGGATTCTATCATTTTCATACTAGGCTATTCGAAAATCCTCAAGTTCCATCTTGTACAGCATCAAAACAAAAATGAATAAGAACCACTAAAAATTTCCTTCTCCGTTATAAAAAAAGAAATTGAATCTAAAGAGCTTAATTCCTACCTCCCCACTAGCAGATTACAATGACGTTAGGTATCCCGTGTCCCCCAGCTCCACCTCTGCCTGCCAACACGATGCAGCTCCGGGAGGTCCACGTCGAAGACTCGCAGCCGTCTTCGGAATTCTCCTTATTCTTATCGATTTTCGATCTAGGCCCTGTTCGTTTGTACATCTGAAAGATGCATCCAGATGGTCCATCTAGATGTCTTATCCAGATGCTCCATCTGGATGTTGTTCGTTTCTCTATTTCGTCTATCTATCTAGATGAATCATCTAAATGTAACTATGTTCGTTTGTTTTTTTAACTTGCATCTGCATCCAGATGGATTTGTTAATAAAATGAATAAAA